AAGGACACCTGCCTGACTCAGTCTGTAGAGCAGGCAACTCTAGATCTCAGGGTTGTAAGTTCAAGTCCCATGTTGGGTGTAGAGATTACTTAAAATCAAAAAAAAGAATTCAGGATTCAAGATTATACAAAAATCAATTCTATTTCTATGTACTAGCATACATAATGAGAAATTGAAATTTTAAAAATGCCATTTACAATTGCATCAAAAATATAAAATATGGGGCGCCTGGGTGGCTCAGTCGTTAAGCGTCTGCCTTCGGCTCAGGTCATGATCCCAGGGTCCTGGGATCGAGCCCCACATCGGGCTCCCTGCTCTGCAGGAAGCCTGCTTCTCCCTCTCCCACTCCCCCCCTGCTTGTGTTCCCTCTCTCGCTGTGTCTCTGTCAAATAAGTAAATAAAATCTTTTAAAAAATATATGAGATATGTTGGGATAAATCTGACAAAGGATGGGAAAGACCTGTAACACTGAAAACTACAAAATATTGCTAAGACCAAATAAAGACAGTCTAAGCCAATAAGGAGATACACCTTGTTCATGCATCATAAAACTTAATATTGTGAAGATTTTCTTTGCTTCTCAAATTTCATGCAATCATAAAATCCCAGCAAGTTTTTTTTTGTAGAAATTGAGAAACTAATTATAAAATTCATAGGCAAAGGACCCAGAATAGCCAAAACAACTCTGAATAAGAACAAAATTGGAGGCCTAACTCTACCTGGTTTCAAGAATTATTATGAAGCTAACAGCAATAAGAACATTTTGTACAAATAGAGCAATAAAACAGAACAGAGTCCAGAAATAAGCCCACACATATGTGGATAATTGGTTTTTGATAAAAGCACAAGGACAATATAATGAAAAAAGAATAGCCTTCTAAAGAAATGATGCTACAACAACTGGACAACCATAATGTAAAACAACAAAAAAGAACTTGGAACTATACCTTACACCATATACAAAAATTAAAAATGATCACAAAACTTAAAACCGTAAACTTTTAAAGAAAATAGGAGATGTTTGTCACCTTATGCCTAATTGGGTTAGGCAAAGATTTTTTTTTTTTTTTAAGATTTTATTTATTTGAGAGACAGCGAGCACAAGCAGGGGTAGGGGCAAAGGGTGAGGGCAAAGCAGACTCCTTGCAAAGCAGGGAGCCCAATGTGGGGCTCAATCCCAGGATCCAAGATCCAGGTCCCAGGACCCTCGATCATGACCTGTGCTGAAAGCAGATGCTTAACCGACTTAGCTACACAGGTGACCCCGCAAAGACTTCTTAGATACCGTATCAAAAGCCCAATCCATAAAGGAACAAATTGATAAATTGTACTTCATCAAAATGAAAAACTTTGGCTCTTTAAAAGACATTATTAAAAGAATAAGGGCAAGAAACAGCCTAGGAGAAAATATTTGCAAAGCATATGTCAGAGAAAGGACTTGAATCCAGAGCATATATAAAGAACTCTGAAACTCAACAATTAGAAAAAATGCAAAGAAAAGAAATAAAGATTTGAACATACACTTCATCAAAGAAGATAACGTGAATGGCCAATAAGCAGACGTAAACGGTATTCATCAAGAGAATGAGGAGACAAACCACAAAGTAGAAAATATAAAAGACGTATCTGATAAAGGACTATTTTAGAACATTCAGGCTGCTATTACAAAAGCACCATAAATTTGGTGGCTTATAAACAAAGATTTATTTCTCACATTTCTGGAGGCTGGGAAGTCCAAGAAAGGTGCTGGCACAGGTAGGGAGCTCCATGGGGCTGCTTTTGGAAACGAGCTATCAAGCAATGAAAAGACATGAAGGCACTTCAAGGGCATATTACTCAGTGACAGAAATCAATCTGTCAAAGGCTGCACTCATCTCAATTGTGAGGGTTCCACTCTCATGACCTAATCACCTCCTCAAACTCCCACCTCCCAATACCATCATTAGCGGTTAGGATTTCAACAGTATGAATTTTGGGGGGTACACAAACATTCAGATCAAAGCAGACTCTTTTCTAAAATAAACAACTCAAAATTCAACAATAAGAAAACAAACCACCAGATTTAAGTGGGCCAAAGACCTTAACAGACACTTCAAAAAAATGTACAGACGGCTAATAAGCATATGAAAAGATGCTCCACATCATATATCATCAGGGAAATGCACATTAAAACAATTAGACATCTCTATTAGAATACAAATATTCAAAACACCGACACCACCAAATGCTGGCAAGAATGTGAAACAACAGGAACTCTCATTTGCTGCTGGTGGGAATGCCAAAATGGTACAGCCACCTCGGAAGACAGTTTGGCTGCCTTTAGTTTCTTACAAAACTACACATAGTCTTACCATAAAATCGGCAATCATGCTCCTTAGTATATAAATTGAAACGAGTTGAAAACTTATGTCCCCACAGAAATCTGCACACATATGTTGATAGCAGCTTTATTCATAACTGCCAAAACTTGGAAGCCACCAAGATGCCCTTCAGTAGGTGAGTGGATAAACGTCGTATATCCAGACAGTGGGAAATTTTTTAGCACTAATGGAAATTAGCTATCAAGCCATGAAAAGACATGAAGGAACTTTAAATGCATATTACTAAGTGACAAACTGTCAAAGGCTGCATATTGTATGATTCCAAGTATATGACATTCTGGAAAAGGTAAAACTACAGAGACAGTTTGTTGACACTGGTTCGGGAGGGAAGGGGCAGGATGGATAGGGAGAACACAGAGGGTTTTTAGGGCAGTGAAACTATTCTGCATATTACTATAATGATCGATATTATACATTTGCCAAAACGTTATACATTTGTACATCAAGCCGTACCCTCGTGTAAACTATAAACTTTGGGTGATAATGTGTGAATGTAGGTTCCTCAATTATAACAAACGTGGCACTCTGGTGTGGGATGCTGATGCTAGGGTAGGGTGTGCATTTGTTGGATCAGGGAGTATATGGGAACCCTCTATACTTTCCACTCAATTTTGCTGCGAATCTAAAACTTCTCTAAAAAAAAGTTTTTTTAAAAGGTGTTTGGTTTCATTAGGCATTAGGGAAATAAATGCAATTAAAACTAGAGCGAAAGTCTACTACTTGCCTACTAGAATGCTAAAATTAACAAGGCTGGTCAACCAAATGTGGTTGGGTGACTATATGAAGAAATTGGAAGTCTCATATACCATTGGTGGGAATGCAAAATGGTACAGCCATTTTGGAAAAATGTTTGGCAGTTTCTTAAAAAATTAAACATACTCCTACCATATGACCCAAGGAAACTTTTGGGATGATGGATATTATTACTCTCTTGATTTTGGCGATGGTTTTCTGGATGTATACATGTCAAAATGTATCAAATGCTACACTTTAAATATATGCAACTTACTCTATACCAATTATACCTCAATAAAGCTGTCTGGAAGAGAGAGCTAACATCCAGCACAGAACCATGGTTTTGAGACAATTATTAATGCTATCTCAATTTGGAAAATGACCAAAGCATTGTAGGAATTCTGATCCCCCAATTAGCAAGAATGGTGTCTACATTTAAGAAATATCTACCTTTACCATAGAAATTTGCTTGAAAATTTTTCAATTATTTTCCCACAGGGTCTCTGTGACAATTTCAACTACAGTAATCTGTTTATTTCTAACCGCTGTAATAATTCTCCTTCCTTTCTATGTTGCTGTCTACTGTGTCCTTGAACACCCAGCTAGTCTCCACAGTTTCCCTGGCCCCAACCCTTTCCATGTACCTCAGGGATTAACTATGAGTTCAGTGGAAGTGAAGGATGGGAAGGGTCTGGTAGCATGCTTTTATCAGAAGACCAACCAGTCTAGAAAAAGATCCTTTGGACCTGGACTAAACTCGTTACCAAGATTCTGAACCAAAAACCATTCCCAGATCACAGTAACACTGGATGCTGATGCTGTCCTCTCTTCTGTTCATGATTACAATTGGGTTTTGACACTAGACCAAGTTCCCAAATAGAAGACTGAGGAAGGAACGTGAGAGTACTCAAGAAAACAATTTTATGTAACTTACACCTGTTAACTCTTAAACTGTGAAGGCCTGGGGCTGCTTCTGGGCCCTGATGGCAATCAAGCAGTAATGAGCATCTTGCTAGCACACACTAGTAATACCAGTAAATTGTAAAGACCAGTTGATTAGCCTAATACAAAAAGAGAAATTATTTAGTTCTTTAGGTCCTTACCTAGCTTATTGCCTTCTCTGTGGCTTAGTAGAAAAATCAAAATTCTGTATTTGGGGTCAGTCTTACCTCCATTCTTCCCTGGGGTGTATGAATAAAGCAAATATCAGCAACACATCTAGGCTAGTAAGCATCATGGGTCTCTCGGAGTTGATTTTGCTCTGGGACCTTTGGCTGTCAGGCCCAGGCCAACAAATTCACTTCCCCCTCCCCCCCTCCCGGGGCTAATATTGCTTCCAGACTCCTCTTTCCTCCCGCTATTGAGCTAAAGTGGTTGGGGGCTTTGGATGACTGGGTTCTTTCCAGGTGCCAAGGCAGACCAGGTTGGGGAGCACGGACTAGCTGTGTTCAGATGCTCGGTGGGCAGTGCTGCGAGCTAGGAGAAGACTGAAGATAGGAGTCAACTTCATTTTGCAGGAGAGGGAACAGGGGCTTATGGAGGATCCAGTTCCAGCTAACCAGATTCCTGACACACTGTGATTTGCCTGAATGGGTGTCGTCGGCACAGGGAAAGGAGCGCGTTTGGGTAAGGGGTTCAGAATTTGGAGTGCGACAGACCTGGTTCGAACAGAGCTCTGCTACTCGGCGGCCTGCGACCTAGGCCACACGTCCTCCCAGACCCTCGGTTTCCTCCTCACTCGGCCGGCCGCGGGACGGAGCGTCGACGCGCCGCTCCGCACGCCTGCGGCAGGGCGCACAGGAACCCCGAGGCCGGCATGGGCGCCGCGCCGACGCCCCCTGCCCTCCGGCCGGCTCCTCGCGCTCGCCGGCCCGCGCCCAACGCTCGGCTCCTAGACGCCCATGGCCGGATGCCCTGCGTCCGCACCGTCCTCGGCCTCCTGGGGGCTCTGGCGGCCTGTGGCGCCGTCGCCTTCCTCGGCTACTGCGTTTACTTCGACCGGAAGCGGCGTGGCGACCCCGTGTTCAGGCGCCGCCTGCGGGACAGTGAGTGCGACGGCGACGTGGGCGGGCGGCGGGTCCGCCCACGGGGCGAGGGCTTGGCGGAGCGCACGCGGGCGTCGGGATGGCTCCCGAGCAGCACGTGCCGTGTTGTGTTTGCAGAAAGAAGAGCCCAGCAGCAGAAGGCTGAGGGACGGGGCGCCCAGGTGAAGTGCTTAGCGACACCGAGGTGGCGTTATAGTGAGTAACCGCCCGGCCCGTGCAGCTTCTGGCCGTGCCTCAGGGGCCCCTGGCTGGTCTCTGAGCAGGCATCTCCTGCCGCCTCCACCCACCCGCGCCCCGCCCCGCTTATATTCGGCCTAGGTGTCGTTTTTATTGTGCGCTTACAAAAGAAAGGGAAGGAAGGAAGAACCACTTGGAATTATGAAATGGCTCATCCCATTTTAAAAAGAGAATTCTTGGGGACAGCAAACACAAAACACAAAAACCCTCCAGCTATAACAGACTGAAGCTGAAGTGACTGGCAGGGGAGTTGATAATTTTGGGTCAAGGATTGTCCATTCTGCCTACCTTTAAAGACCAGCCCTGGGCATGGTACCAATGATGACGCCATCCTGTGACTCTGGTCACCTTCCTGAACCAGGCTGAAGCAAACCACAGCATGCTTCTGAACACTCAACTGCCCTGCCAACCCCTCGCCATGCCCTTTGCCTGGTCGACAAACACTGCTAAAACCCTAGGCAAGAAAATAACTTTGCAACCTACAAAACTAGGTGTGTGGTAGTTAATTACAGTAGGATTACTGGTATGTGTACTTAGGAAGCTGGGTAAAATACACATGAGAGTTATTACAAGCATCTCAACTCAATTTCAATATGCCATGGGTTTTTTTTTAATTGCCTGAAATTTTAATTCCATCTTAAGTTTTAAATATTATAAAGAAAAATTGTGTTTATCATACCTTGGATTTAGAGATTAGGTTCAAGATATGCTTTTTTAAGTAAAAATTAAATAAGTTTGATCAGTAACCCTATACCTTACATTCATTACTCATTTTTAAATATTTTGTGAATCTTTTAGTTGTGGGATCCAGCAAAGAATAAAAAATTGCAAGAACTTTTTCTGCAAGAGGTACAAATGGGACAACTTTGGTTATCCAGAGGTGAGAATGTAAATACTCTTTTGTAAGCATATATATATGTTGAAAAAATTTTTGATTGGTATTTATATGTCAAAAAACTTGGGGCACCTGGGTGGCTCAGTCAGTTAAGCCTCCCAACTCTTTTTTTTTTTTTTAATTTTATTTATTTGATTGAGACACAGTGAGAAAGGGAACACAAGCAGGGGAAGTGGGAGAGGGAGAAGCAGTCTTCCTGTGGAGCAGGGAGCCCGATGCAGGACTCGATCCCAGGACCCTGGGATCATGACCTGAGCCGAAGACAGACGCTTAACGACTGAGCCACCCAGGCACCCCTCAGTCAATAAAATCTTGAAAAAAAAAACTGGGGGCCTCACAGAATTAATTCCTCTGGATTAATTCCTAACTGGATACTGCTTGGACATAAGGGCAATTAAAATAGACAAACCCTTTTGGCAGCCACCCAGGTGCCCCTATTCTTATTCACTTTAAAAGCTTTCATGTAAACAGTTCAGATGGTGAAGATGTTACAAATACTGAGACTATTAAAGAAAAAATTTGCAAACTTGGTTTTTAAAATTTTTACCTCCGGAGCGCCTGGATGGCTCAGTTGGTCTGTCTTCGGCTCAGGTCATGATCCCAGGGTTCTGGGATGGAGCCCCGAATCCAGCTCCCTGTTGTGGGGCGGGGGTCTTCTCCCTCTCCCTCTGCCCCTCCTCCCTGCTTGTGTTCTCTCTCTCAAATAAAATCTTTTTTAAAAAATTAAACTTTTACCTCTTAAGGGTGATTAATTAGCTCTTTAAGGGTTATGTATGCCCATATTTTACTTAATGGAGTTCTCATCTTGGTTGCTTATTTAATCCCCACCAAACCCCAAACCAATTAAATCAGAATCTCAGGTGTCAGTATTTTTTAAAACTCTCTAGATTACAATACACTGTTTAATGCAATAATTTTTCACCTAGTTTTCTGTAATCCTTTTAATTTTCTCCACTCCTCTCTGCCACACCCCCAATTTTCATTACTTTGCTGTCAAGTAGTATAGTCCCATAGCCATCTCAATTGTGGTTACGTCTACATAGGACCATAGAGCCAGTAATTTTGACTGAAATTTCTGATTAGCTGATTTAATTTATTGGTTGACTTGATCAAATTGATTATTGTTTTTGTCACATTAGCTCTATCATCCTGAGAGGAGTCACTATTTTTTTAAAATTATTATTTATTTGAGAGAGAACAGGAGAGCATGAGCAGTGGGGAGGGTCAGAAGGAGCAGCAGACCCCCCACTGAGCAGGAGCCCGATACGGGACTCCATCCCAGGACCCTGAGATCTTGACCTGAGCCAAAGGCAGACGCTTAACCAACTGAGCCACCCAGGTGCCCTGACAGGAGGCACTATGTTATCTTTCTTTAAAAGGTTCAATACGACCAAAGTATTTTGACCTAATGTGTCATCTCCATGAAGCTGTAATTTTATTAATTTAAAATAAACCTTTTAGGGCCACCTGGGTGGCTCAGTCAGCTGAGTGACTCTTGGTTTCAGCTCAGGTCATGATCTCAGGGTAGTGAGTTGGAACCCTGCTCTGTGCCCAGTGGGGAGTCTGCTTGAGATTCTCCCTCTCCCTCTGCCCCCTACCCCCTGGCTTGCGCGCTCTCTCTAAAATAAATCTTTAATAAAATAAACCTTTTAGTGAAACACTAGCACAGTATTTCATCTAAGAAATATCCTTCTGATGGTTTTTCAGTTTACACTTAATACAAATCTGGGAAGCAATATTTTCTGTCCATCATGCACTTTTCAGATGAGCACGTATTTCAACCAATAAATGGGAAATTATGTAACACCTGAAGAGAGGCAGCACACTATGGTCTCAACGTTCAGAAAATTCAATTACTAATTTTGGCATTAATTAGTTCTGAAAATTTAAATCATTTCACTGATCTTTGCCTCAGTTTCCTGGAATGAAGTAGTGAGACTAAGTGATTCCATGTTAAAATTTAAACAAATTCTGATTAATTTCCATAGTACATAAATTTTCATTCTTTATAGCCAGTCATCCTAAAATTCATCTTAAAACTACTTAGAAATCAAAGTTCATAAATCTCTTTTCTTCCCCTAGCTATGTAATTCGTGTTACACTAAACCCTGTTTCAAACTCTTTGATAATACAATCTATTTTTTTAGTCTCATTTAGCCAAAACATCAGGTGTTTCCTTTATATTTCAACAATCACACATGTAAAGATAATCTATCTCCTATCAGTAACAGCAGAAAACAATCTTTAAAATAAACACTCAATACCCCCCTCTTACGAACCCACATTGTAGAACATGAACGTTTCTAAAGCAAAAGTGCACTTTTTAATAGTAACTTGGGTCATAAAATTATTCATCTTGCAGCTTGATCACAGTGAATCTAATTGGCAGTTCAACATTTTCCCCATTTATAGTCTTTACTCCTTTTAAGACTTAAGTAGTCTGTAGTTTGATTTTTTTTTATTTCAATACTTGGTGCTTTCTTGGTAATTTGTGGAATGTTTATTTGGAAGAATGTTAACATTTTGCTTTAAACCTTATCAATCTGTTTCAGGAGAGCATCAGTTGGGGGTTGAACACCTCAGCAATGCCCTTTTAGTATGTGGACAACCACAAGAACTTCTGAAGGTTTTCAAACACACACTCCCTCCTCAGGTATTTGAGATGCTGTTACACGAAATTCCCCTTATTTGCCAGGTGAGCACATACTTAATTGTCTTTGCTAAATGTAAATAACAGTAAGTAACCATGTTAGGCTTGATTACATAAAAATAGCAAAGTTTGTGTGTGGATGGGAGCTTTAAATAAGTAAAATTTCTGAATTTTTGGTTGCTTTTCTTGCCTTATGATGAAACAAGCTTATTTTTCATTTTCCTTTAACTACAGTGAATTGTATATTTTGTTGAGTCTTATAGATGTTTCAACATTTCAACTTTAAAGGTAGCACTGTTAATATTTTGTCTTTGTACCTTCAAAGACCTAATGATTACTAACTGTAATGTCAACAGAGGCCTGTAAGTTAAATGGCATTGTTAGTTAAATGATGCAATAGCTTAAAAATTAGATGTAATACAGAAAACCATAATTTATCAAAGCAGAATAATACTTTTGGCTTCAAATATGACAAAACATAGAAATCACTTTGGTATTGGAAACATAGGCTAACTTAAATTAGTGTTCTCTTAAGTGCAAGTTTAGATTGGTACCAAATGAAATCTACTCAGAAGCCAATTTACTAGTGGGTATTAGTCTACTTAACATTTACCAAATTTCTTGGTATATTTATGCATCAACTAGAATTCCCTGCAGATGCTTGGATTTGTTTTAGGATTCATTTAGCCGTAAGACACTACTTTAACTTCAGTTCACTTTTTATTGCACTGATCACACGTCATGGATGAGAATACACTGTATAATGTTGGACTGAGAATCATTCATGTTGGACTCAGCTTTTGAACAAAACACAAAACACAGTCTCCACTAGAGCATACTAGTCAACTCTTACACATTCACAAGGTAGTCTCAGATGGGATGTTTCCTGTAGACATATGAATATGGATATGAATGAATATAGGATATGAATGTATAATGGCCACCCTGACACAAGAAGGGAGGCAAGAAACGATCGTGTGTTGAAATGATTAGCAAGTAACTATTTTATGTATTTACCAGCAATTTGAGGCAGACATGAATGAACAGAAATACTTGGAGGATGATCGTGATTGAAAAACATTTCAACGTATCCACAGTCCAGTCAGAATACTATGGTACTATATATATAGTATAAACAACTGCTCAGTAATATTTCCATTTATTTTACTTTTAGTAATAAAAAATTCTATCTCATACATGATTGAACACATATTTTGCTTTAAAATTAACAGTCACAATTGAAGAAACAATGGTTTATTTTTCTAATGAAATTACCAAGCTGCTGAATCTTAAGGCCTCAACAAATGTTGCATCTTATTATTTTCATTCAACAATAAGACCTCCTATTTTGATTATTCTCGGTAAATAGCAATTTTGTTTCTCCAGTTGTTTCCATTTGCCAAAGTTAGGAGAGACAGTTTAATATGGTGGCTACTGCTTTCAGGGGATTCTATCAGATGAATCCTCATTTCCATCACAATAGCTGCTGGCAATCTTTCATCAAAAGTCCATCCATTAGGACTTCTCTATCGTGGTTGGCCAAGAAGTCCTGCTTTGGCTGCCAGGGCTTCATTCTGCTGAATATGATATTCCTGAAATCTCATGGATATTCTTTGTGTCATTTTTAAATATTTCTGTAAGCAATGTTCAGAACAGGTGGTCTAGAAATAAAAAGAGAAGATCCAAGAGGCAACACAGAAATACTAATTTTTAAAAAGTGCACGTACTCTAAATGAACAACCAGTGGGTGCTTTTCTTTTCTTTGAATAGATGAGAACTAAATGGTATGAATGAGTAGCAAGTCCATATAGCTTTCAATTGTTAGTTTTATCCATTTACAAGAATATATACTGAATGCCTACCAGTTTATAAGCACTAAAAACAATGGTATGTCCCTGACTTTTCCATCCCTCATTCTGATTGTTAAAACATAGGCCCAGGAATAAGTTTGTTCCTTTTTAATGAGAAACTCCATTCCGCACATTCTTAAATTTCAACATTTCTTTTTAACAAGAAGAATATTATACTTAGCATTTTTCAAGCTTCGTCATTTATTTAACAGGGACTTGTTGATTGCTAGTTATATATTCTTGGCATGAATGCTGATCAACATCTTACACTGGAGGAAGTTTATGTCACTTTTAGCCAAAATATAAATGTTTTGATGATGATATTAAAAGTTAAGATTTCTCATAGGATTGAGTTTTCAGAGTCCACCTATGCAATGTGAGCCACCATATTCAAGCTCTGCTTTTTCCAAAATTAACGTGAGTTGTCAGGGTCAGATAGAAGAGCCATATCAGGTTTCTCTAGCCAGGCCATCTTGACTGAAAGCTAATTAGTAAGAATCTTTCTTTGCTCGGGAACAATAATTCAGCAAGCCCTAGGCATCTTACTAAAAAAATCTGCCATGCTACAGTATATATGACAAGCTGTCATATTAAATTTGTGATCATTAACTTCAATGCCATGGATCCCCGACTGCTTCAGTTCCTCTGAGCAATGGAACATATTAAGTAATCCAAATTCCTGTAATAACTAGGAACAAGGGAAATGGTTAGAGGCATCCCATTTCTATTGTTTATGACAGGTTTAGAGAATTCTTAGTAGGCAACACTTTTCATACCTCTTCAGGTTTTACTTCTCTTGTTGTGAAGTCTTTAACGCAATCCAAAAAGCAGGTTTCTGTAAGTTTATTGTAGGTTCCAAGAAATTCCTTAAACTACGAACAAATCAGAACATTCTTTAATATTTGGTTTTTTAAAGCAAAGATGTTTTGAAACTTTAATTACTGATGTTTTGTATTTGGGGAAAATACCCTGTAATACTTGAAATCAACCAGTTCTTTCACTAACTCAAATGGGCATAATATGACCTGTATGGTATGATCTACAAAATATAGTCCAATTATCTAGTTGAATATTTATTCGTTCCTGGATATCTGTCACATTATCTGAAAAATAAATGTTTCATATCATTTAAAATCCATTTTTGGAAATGAAATATGAAGTTATTTTGTGAGATCACTGACTAACATGGTTGCACCCAGTTAGCCTTAAATTTTTTGCAAAATTCTTTTTTGTTAATTGTAATACCTTACCTGTTTTATCTGATCAGATTCTGGTATTTGTGCAGCCATATTCTATTGGTATGTTTATTAGTCACCTGATTTAAAAATTAAGAAAAAGTTTGTCAGTCTCTGAACAAATATTTTTAGGCTAGCTAAAAAGTTAGGTAATTAAAACAAGAACAGTTTATGAAAATAAATGAAACAAAACTTACCTGAAATTGTTTTTATTTTATAAATTTCTAATGGAGTATGTAATTATATCCCCCTCTCCACAATCCCCTAGGTCATTAATGACAACGAAGAACACTACAGTTTACAGAATTAGATTTTTTAATGCTGGCTATAGGCTCCAAAGTCCCCCTCTATCTAAATCTCCAGTTTTAAGACAGCTTGCTCTATTACCTTGCAAGGTTACTTGTTAAAGCCTCGTTCCTATAGGGCTTTAAGGGAAACCAAGAGATCTCTGGTGTCTTCCTGCAAGTACTTAACTATTTTAATGTAACTTTGACCTGTGATAATAATGATTCTTTTACTATCTCTACATAAACACAAAGTTTCTATTAATTATTAATAAACACCATCCACGTGGGGCGCCTGGGTGGCTCAGTCGGTTAAACTCAGACTTATTTCGGCTCAGGTCATGATCTCATGGGTTGTGGGATCAAGCCCCATGTGGAGCTCCATGCTCAGTGGGGAGTCTGCTTAAGATTCTCTCTCCCTCTACCCCTCACTGTCCCCGCCCCCGCCGCTCCCACAGTCTCTCAAAAAAAAAAATCGTAAGGAAAAGACATTAATAATACAGTACTGTAAAAAATCTGCATATAAGTGGACCTATGTATTTCAAATCTGTATTGTTGTTCAAGGGTCAACTGCATATGTTTTTACTATATAAACTACCTGAAAAATACCATCAATTAACTGAAGGTTACAATTTTTCAAGTACTGCTGTGCTATTATAAAATACCACTAACCAGTCAAAGAGAAGATTCTATATTATACAATGCAGTTTAGGACTTGTGCTTCTGAAAAGATGGAGCAAGAGATGTGTTTTTCCCTATTCTTCAAACTAAGTACAACTAAAAACACTGGACATGACATAAAACAAACGTAAGACTTTAAAAAGGTGGAGAGAAGAAAGTATATTGGCCAGGGCCCTTGGGACCTGAGAAACAAAACAGTGGGGAATTTCTCTTTCTCTTGTTTTTGTCTCCTCTATCACAGAGTTGGAGCTGAAGAAGCCAGCAATCTGCGAATGCCAATGGGCACAGTCAAAACCCCCCATCTCTCCAAAGCTGGCCCTCTCTAGCCAAAGGGCCAGGAAAGGGGAAGCCTATAAGATAGAAAACTTTTAAACAATAACTGTGTACTCCAGGCAAACAAAAACACTGGCCTGTATCCCCCATCCACCCACATCAACATAAGCTAAGTTAGGAGCCTAGACTTCCACCCTCACTAAGCTGTAATGAGGCACTCAGTCCCCCACACTTCAGAGAAGGGAGATTAGGAAGCAGGGACTTTCATCCTTACTGGGCATTAATGAGGGCTCCCCCAAACCCAACAAGTGTCAGTGGAAACAACATGAAGAGCCTGGACTTCTACCTCAATTGGCAGTAATGGGTTACCCTTCTCTCTTCCCTCTGGGTGGTATCAAAGGAGGCCTCTTTGAGATTCAAGGCTTGCATTACTGTCCTGTGGTAATGAGTTCACATATCCTCTTCTGATGTCAGTGGGGACCATGTGGGGAGCAGTAATGAGGCACTCCAGTCCCTCTCCAGTCCCTCATACCAATGGAGGCCTGCTGGAGAGCCATAACTCCTACTCTTGCCCAGCAGTACTGAGGAGCAGACCATCCCCATATCTTAAGTGACACAGTGAGGCACCTGGACGTCTATCCTGTGTCTAGTAGTAATGAGGCAGCATGCCCACTCCCCTACTTCTGCTAATGGAACAGTGGCAAAAGGAGCCAGCTAGAAAAGGTTTAAACAAGATCTAGAGCCTCATAACACAGTATGCAAAATGTAAGTTACAATAAAAAAAAAATCAATCATCATACCAAGAACTAAGAAAATCTCAGACTGAATGAAAAAAGATAATATATATCCAATATTGAGATGACAGATTTCGAATTATCTGACAAAGATTTTAAAAACGGCTATTATAAAAAATACCTCAATGAGTAGTTATGAATATGCCTGAAACAAACAAGATATTAGAAGAACCAAATGGAAATCTTAAGAAGTGAAAAATTAAATAACCAAAATAAACTGAACAGATAGAATCAATAGCAGAATGGAGGACAGAGGAAGCAATCAGTAAAGCAGAAGACAGAAAATAGAATTAACGAATGTGAATATTCAAACAGAAAAATATAATGAAAAAAATGAACAGAGTACCAGGAACCTATATGATGTAACAGAAGATCAAATATTTGTTTCAACAGAGTCCTGGAAGAAGAGGAGAAAAGAGCAAGGCCATAAAAGTACTAGAAGAAATAATGGCTGAAAACGTCCCAAATTTGGCAAAAGATAAATTTATGCATCCAAGAGAAGCTGAATGAATGCCAAAGAGCATAAACACACAGAAATCTACATCAAGATACGGCACAGCCAAGCATCTAAAAACTAAAGACAAAAATTTTTGAAAGTAGCAAGTGAAAAAGTAACATCTTACCTACAGGGGAAAACAATTAGGATGACATCAGTCAACCCAGAACCTACATCCAGAAAAAATACACTTCCTTCTCAAATGAAGGAAATTAGAATTTGTTGCCAGCTGACCTACCTTAAAAAAAGAATTAAAGTTCTAAACAGAAAGGAAATGAAAATAGGATACTTGGAACATCAAGAAAGAGGAAAAACAGATAGTAACAAATATGAGTAATTACAGAACACTTTCCTTCTCTTCTAAAGTGTCCTAAACTGTTTGACAGTTGAAACAAAAATTATAAAACTGTCTAATGTCGTTTCAAATGTATATTAATAAATATGGTAAAGGTAAAGGGAGGTAAGGTTTCTACACTTCACTGAAACTGGTGTTGACACCATTAGACTGTGATAAAGTATATAAATATCATGAAGTAACTAGAGCAATCACTAAAAAGGATACATAAGGAAACATACTCAAAAATACTATAGATAAATCAAAATGAAATTCCAAAATATATTCATGTAATCCACAGAAAGGCAAGAAAAACAGAACAGAAAATAAAAAATAGCAAATTTAAGCCCTAGTAAACAATTACATTAAATATAATTGGTGTCAATAATCGATTAAGAGACTGGTAGAATGGATTAAAAAACATTACCAACTATATGCTGTCTCTAAGAAAATTTTTTTTTTTAAGATTTTATTTATTTGACAGAAACACAGTGAGCGAGGGAACACAGCAGGGGGAGTGGGAGAGGGAGAAGCAGGCTTCCCACTGAGCAGGGAGCCTGATGTGGGGCTCCATCCCAAGACCCTGATATCGTGACCTGAGCTGAAGGCAGATGCTTAATGAATGAGCCACCCAGGCGCCCCTCTCTAAGAAATTTACTTCAAATATAATGATACAGACAGGTTGAAAATAAAAGGATAGAAAAAGATCTATCATGCAACCAATCAAAAGAAAATAGTGGATATATTAATATCAGACAAAGTAGATGTCAGAGCAAAGGAAATTAAAAGACAGAAAGGGACTTAAGGATTAACCTACCAAGAAAACACAGCAATCTTAAATGTATACGCACCAAAGAAGAAAGTTGCAAAATAGAGTAGAACTGAAAGGAGAAAGAAACAGATACAGCTGGGGACTTCAACACTCCTCTCTCAACAATCAGTAGAACTAGACAGAAAATTTACAAGGATATAGAAAAAAAATACTATCAACCCACAATCCACATTTATAGAACATTTTACCCAACACCACAGAATACACATTTTTATCAAGTGCCCACTGGAACACAGACCAGGATAAACCATATATCCTGGGCCATAAAACTAGCCTCAACAAATTTAAAAGAATTGAAATTATACAGAATGTGTTCTCTGACCACAACAGAAGCAAACTGGAAATCGGTAACGGAAAGATAACAGGAAAATCTCAAACATTTGGGAAATAAACTACTTCTAAATAATCCATGGGTCAAAGAGGAAGTCTCAAAGGAGAAAAAAATCATTGAACTGAATGAAACTGCAAATACAACACATCAAAATTTGTGGGACACAGTTAAATCAGAGCCAAGAGGAAAACTGACAACTAACTGCATATAATAGAGAAAAGTAAAGGTCTGAAATCCACAATCTAAACTTTCACTTCAAGCACCTAGAAAAAGAACAGAATAAACCCAAAGCATGTAGAAGGACGGAAATAATAAAGAGCAGAAGTTAATGAAAATGAAAACAAGTGCAACAAAAGTCAATAAAACAACGAGCTGGTTCTTTGAAAAGATTATAACAGACAAGCCTCTAGCAAGAGTAATAAAAAAAGAAATCACATTATCATTATAAGGAATGAAACAGGATACATCACCATAGACTCTGCAGACATCAAAAGCATAATAGCATGACAAACACAGACCTAAAAATCCTTGACAAAATAACAGCAAATGTAATTCAGCAATATATAAAAATAATTACACATCTTGAATAAGTGGAGTTTACTCCAGAGATGCAAGACTGTTTCAGTATTTGGTGAAAAATCATGAGATATCATATCAATTGATGCAGAAACAGCATTTGACAAATTCAACACCCATTCATGATAAAAACTCTTTGAAAATAAGGAAAAGAGAACTTCAATTTGATAATGAACATCTACAAAAAACTAGTTAATGGTGAAAGACTAAATATTTTCCCCTAAGATTGTGAGCAAGGCAGGGTATCTGCTCTTACCACTCTTAATATACTGCTGGAAGTTCTACCCAGTGCAGTAAAGCAAGAAAAGGAAATAAGACATACAGACTGTAAAGGAAGAAAATAAAATTGTTTCTCTTTACAGATGACATAATTGTGAACTTAGAAAATACCAAGGGATCTACAAAGAAACTCAGAATTAGTAAGTTCAGGAAAGACAGGATACAAGATAAGCGTGCAAAAAATCAATTCTATCTCTATATACTTGCAGTTAACACTCAGACAATGAAAAGTACAATACTATTAACAATCACTCAAAAAAAATTTAGGGGTAAATCAAACAAAGCATGTACAAGACTTGTATTCTGAAAACTACAAAATGCTGATGAAAAAAATCAAAGACCTAAATAAATGGAGAGACATATTGTGTTCATGGATTGGAAAATAGCTAAAACAAATTAAAAAAAAAATAAAATGGGGGAAATCAGTCTACCTGATTTTAAGACTTATTACAGAGCTACAGTAATCAGTATTGTGTGCTATGGGTGGAGTAGCAGACACATAGATCAGTAGAACAGAACAGAGAACTCAGAGTTAGAGTCACACAAATATGCCCAATTGATTTTTACTTTTTTTAAAGATTTTTTTTTTTTTTTTTAATTTATCTGACAGCGAGAGAGGGAACACAAGCAGAGGGAGTGCGAGAGGGAGAAGCAGGCTTCCCGCCAAGCAGTGAACCCGATGCGGGGCTCGATCCCAGGACCCTGGGCTCATGACCTGAGCCGAAGGCAGACGCTTAATGACTGACTGAGCCACCCAGGCGTCCCCCAAATGATTTTTAGTGAAGGGGCAAAAGCAATGAAATGAAGGATAGCCTTTTCAACAAATGGTACTAGAACAATTGTACATCCAAAAGAAAAAATTTAACCTCAAACTAAGTCTCTCATTTACATATGACTTATATAAAAATTAACTCAAAATGGATCAGGAACTTAAATGTAAAACATAAAATTATTACAATTTATAGTGACAGGGGCGCCTGGGTGGCTCAGTCATTAAATGTCTGCCTTTGGCTCAGGTTATGATCCCTAGGTCCTGGGATCGAGCCCCACATCAGGCTCCCTGCTCAGCCACGAGCCTGCTTCTCCCTCTCCCGCTCCCCCTGCTTGTGTTCCCTCTCTGGCTAGTCTCTCTGTGTCACATAAATAAATAAAATCTTTAAACAAAAAAAAAAAAAAAATATATATATATATATATATAGTGACAACACCAAATGATGGTATGTGGAAAAACTGGATCACTCAGATATTCCTAGTAGTAATGTAAAATTATGTGCTACTCCAGCAAACAGGTTGGCAGTATCTTAGAAACTTAAACATGAGGAGTGCCTGCGTGGCTCAGTTGTTAAGCATCTGCCTTCAGCTCAGGTCATGACCTAGGGTCCTGGGATCGAGCCCCACATAGGGCTCCAGCCCCGAATCGGGCTCCCTGCTCAGCGGGAAGCCTACTTCTCCCTCTCCCATTCCATTGCTTGTGTTCCCTCTCTCGCTGTGTCTCTGTCAAATAAATAAAATCTAAAAAAAGAAAAAGAAAATTAAACATGCAACTACCATATGACCCAGTAATTGTATTCCTTGGCATTTATCACAGAGAAATGAAAACTTATGGGGGTCACACAAAAGGCTGTATGTGATTGTATATGGAAACTTTCTAATAGTCAAAAACTGGAAACAACCCAAATGTTCTTCAGTAGGTGAATGGTTAAACTGGCACACCAGTACCATGGAATACTACTCAGCAATAAAAAGGAATGAATTATTGATGCACAAAAATTGGATAAATCTCTAGAGAATTATGCTGAGTGAAAGAAAAAAGCCAATTCCAAAAGGTTATATATGATTTATATAACATTCATGAAATGACAAAATTAAAGAAATGGAGAATATTAGTGATTGCCAGGGATTAAGGAGGGGATATAGGTAGGAAGGAAGTGAGTATTGCTATAAAAAGGCAAAAGGAGAGACTTCTGTGATGGAAATGTTCTGTATCTTGACTGTATCATCAATATCTGCGTTGGGATAGTGTGATGTTTTGTAATATGTTAGTTACCATTGTGGAAAACTGGATAAAGGGCACAAGGTATGTCTGCATTTTCCCCTACAACTGCATGTGAATCTACAATCTCAAACTAAAAAGTTTAATATAAAAAAAATGAAGTTGCCCAGCTATCTAATCCCTGCCCAAGAACAAGATTCAGTGGGCAGTGTAGGAAGTGTTAGCAAACACTCAAAACTAGAGTTCTTTCAGCTTCTCACTCAAAAAACAGCCTGAAAATATCCAAGAACTGGTAAGGTAACTTTTGTGAAAACAGGTGTTAAATGAAACAGTTTTGCGGGAACTTAAAAAAAATATATAAGGGCGATTACCCTAAAGATACAAACGTAGTGATCTGAAGGGGCACCTGCACTCCAATGTTTATAGCAGCAATGTAGATGATAGCCAAACTATGGAAAGAGCCCAGATGTCCATCAACAGATGAAGATGTGGTTCTCCTTCTTCCACTCCCCCTGCTTGTATTCCATCTCTCACTGTCTATCAAATAAATAGATAAAATCTTAAAAAAAAAAGTGCATTATGGAACAATAGGCCTCTAGCTGAAAAGACAAAAGTTCATCCATAAGACTGTGATCCTTTTTGAATTGTGTAGTACATTCACTGTACTTCAGGACACTGGTGTTTCTACACCTCACACCAAAAACGGTAACAGATCTGATTTTCTTACTTATAAAAACCTTAGAAATTTGCATGTTCACTGTGATGTCAAAATCCCATTCTTTTTCCTATTCCTTTCATTTCCTCATTAAAATTAATATATAATCACTTTTTAACTAGAGTTCCAGAAAGGCAGAAGGTATGAAATCTTTAAATGTTAAGTTTCAGAGACTGGTAACACTGTGCTGACTCTACCCCACTTGCCCCTTAGTGTACAACTCATGGTGACAAATGATGGTTGTTATTGGGAAGTCTTTGACAACACACAGATGAGGAGTGCCCCAGATGTTCTTGGTATGAATCTTATTTAAAAATTATTTTCTTGGGGGATGCCTGGGTGACTCAGTCAGTTGAGTGTTGGACTCTTGGTTGTGGCTTGGGTCATGATCTCGGGGTCATGAGATCAAGCCCCGTATCTGGCTCCGTGCTGAGTGTGGAGTCTGCTTCAGATTCTCTCTCTCTCTGCCCCTACCCCTGCTTGTGTGCATGTCCTCTCTAAAATAAATGGATAAATAAAATCTCTAAAAAAAAAAATTATTTTCTTGGTATTATTTTTAATATACAGTCATTAATAGTATATATCTCTTCCTTTAAAGTTTATCATATTATGAGTAATATTTCTTGATAATTTGGAAAATAAAAGAGAAATAGTTCTATTCAATACCGCTATGTTAACATTATGATTTTTTTCTCTAGTCATTCAATTATATATATATTTTCTCAAATATCTTCCCAGACCTATAACTGAACTAAGAGCTAACAGTTTTCTCAAGTCCATCTAAGTCTCCAAAGCTCTTCTGTGTAGTCACCATTATCAAGATTATGGTATATTTAATTATAGGCACTTGTTCCTAGAAAATATTGGAGATAATTGAGTGAATGATTTTCATATTCAGTTGCTAGTTTGGGGTCTTCTAAGTCTTGGGGCATTCTATTTTATAGTTAATTAATAGTAAATTATGCTGACTGACAAAGTCCAACAGCCACACAAACCACCTGATGATGAAACAGGTAGAAGCAATGTGGCTGCCCTTTGATTTGGTCCTAGTTTTCAGCTATTACAGCAAATGTCTGTTATTGTAGAAACAAATATCCTATCAGAGGTTACCTTATCGTTATATCCCTGAAACCTGCAGAGGAAGGAAGGGATAAGAAAGTTCTAGAATCTCTGGCTTAGGTCTTGGGAATGATCATAACAATGCTAAGTTATTTTTGTGTCAAACAAAATATGTAATAAAACTAGGGAACTTAAGATAAAGAGAAATCTTATCAGTCATCAATTCAAACCTTTTCTGATGCATGAGTTTCCTTTTGTTCCGGAAAATTAGTTGTCCAACCTTTGCTTGAATGTTTCTAATGACTGATTTCTTACCTGAAAAATAAGGGGATTACAATTTGACTGCTGAGGTCTCTTCAAGCTCTAAAGCTATTTGACGAAATCTAAACTTCTGTTGGCTAAATTGTTTTCAGTAAGTGAAATTAGTTTCCTCAGTCTATTCTGAGGTTACAATTCCTTAGCATATGTGTTATAGGTATTAAGAAGTACTTAACATCCTAATCTTTCCAGGTAGTATGTTTAGATAAACACACAAGGACAAACAATTCCCAGAAATTTTTGAAAACAAAAGAAAACAACCCAAGGACTAGGATGTGATAGGGGAGATGCCCTCCATTTCTTTTTTGGAATCATATGCAGATTTGTACCAGGTCTGGAGCCAAAATTCTAATTCTGTTCAAACTTAGTTTACAATAAGTGATTCTTCTGATGGCCTTGGCCATCACCACGATAACTGACCCTAGTCTCTGCATGACTGGTACTGGTAATTGATAATCTTGTGAGTCAGGCAAGGATCATGAATGAATGATAAAACTACTGGGTGAAAGGTGGTTGGGTAAGAGGATATATCCATGGTCTCAAAGTACCTCCATAGGTTACTTATCACCAAAGGAAACCAGTCCCTTTACACTGGGAAGATCTGGCAGTCACCACCATAACCAATAAAGACACAGTATCAACTATGTAGTATTCTTGCCAAAAATGTTTGATCTGATTCTGATCATGAGTAAATAACTAGGAAAATCCACAATGTGGCACAATTTGTAAGACAAGTAGGCTAGTCTTTTTAAAAAGTTAAAGTCATGGGTGCCTGGGTGGCTCAGTTGGTTAAGCGACTGCCTTCGGCTCAGGTCATGATCCTGGAGTCCCGGGATCGAGTCCCACATTGGGCTTCCTGCTCAGCAGGGAGTCTGCTTCTCCCTCTGACCCTCTTCCCTCTCGTGCTTTCTATCTCTCATTCTCTCTCTCTCTCAAATAAATAAATAAAATCTTTAAAAAAAAAAAGTTAAAGTCATAAAGAAAAGGGGTAGAAGGCTGTTCTAGATTAAGTGACTAAAGAGTCATGACAACTAAACAATGTGTGAACTTTCGACCTTGAATCAAAAAAAATTTTTTCTGCTTTAAAAATAAAGACATTTAGGGCGCCTGGGTGGCTCAGTTGGTTAAGCGACTGCCTTCGGCTCAGGTCATGATCCTGGAGTCCCGGGATCGAGTCCCACATCGGGCTCCCTGCTCAGCAGGGAGTCTGCTTCTTCCTCTGACCCTCTCATGCTCTCTATCTCTCATTCTCTCTCTCTCAAATATATAAAAAATCTTTAAAAAAAAAAAAAAGTTTTAAAAATAAAGACATTTTTGGGATAGTTGAAGAAATCTGAATGTTACCTTGTTAGGTGTGATAATCTTACTGTGGCTATGTAATAGACTGTTCTTAAGGAGATACATGCTGAAGAAATTAGGATTAAAGGTCATGTCTGAAACTTACTTGCAAACCAGGCAGCAAAAAAAGTGTATCTATTTATACATGTATATATGGAGGTGTAAGAGTGGGAAAGAGGAAGTACATAAGTAAAGATGTTAACAACACAAAAGACATATAATTTTGTGAGACATATTTTTTGTTTCAGGGCTATCATTGTCTTTGATAGGTCAGATGTCTAAATTGAACTGAACTTGTCTGATCGATACAAAATATGGCTCTGCCACATGTCCCTTTGCTTTAGATTATTTGCAGCAGGTTTAGTAAGTTATGTCTGATAACTGGCAACCCCAACTCAACTTACTACTAATCAGGGCAAAAAAGACTTTTGAAAGATTACTGCTTTCGGGTTTAAAGCATCCCTTCCAGGCCTGAAGGGTGAGCCTATGAGCATTGGACTAGATGGGGGCGAGACTACTTGAGTTTTAACCCCAGGTCTGATATGAAAGGGGTTTGTAAGATCCAAATCAAATCATTTATTCAAGTCATTTTAGTAAGTTTCTATGCCTACCCTCACACCTTAGAGACTACAGAGGGAAGGTTACTTTTTCTTTAATATTTAAGTTTCACCTAGAAAATAAGGAAGTTAAGTCATCTTCAGAGTCTCTGACATTGTTATTTTATCTTTTAATTCACCTACATTATAAAACAAATTGTGAACGAACAAGTACCTAAGAGCCCAATAACGAAGAGAGAAATGTAAGTGACATAAGAAATAATGACAGAAATAATTACTGAAATTTATCAAGAATTAAAAGGTTCTCCAAAGCTGAGCCCCTAAGGTCCCTTTTAATTCTAAGATTTATTTTCTATGAAAGTAGACAGATGAGATGCAGAAATAAACTGTTATTTAACTTTACAGATTACATTTTTTTGTTTTGATTAAAAAAAAACCCTTTAGTAATGCGTAAAGGGAAACGTCTAAACGTCCTCAAAAATTAGCAGATCAGATAAGGGGTGTGGGGTCATGGCATTCTGTCTAGAGACGATTTTTTAGTTAAAGGAGGGTCTCCTGTCTGTGAGCTCAAGGTCACCGCGTGGATGCTTTACATTTAACTCACTGTTCCAAAACAAGATCCCTACTCCCCAAACCCGGATTGGGGGTGGTTCAGAGCTTCAAATTCCGACCCTCGCCCCAGTGATACGGTCTCCCGGCAGCTCCCAAACCTCCTCTGGGGACGCGCTGCCGGTCTCCGCAACAGCCCCCCCGCCCCAGTCCAACGTACTCGCGGCGGCCTCCTCCAGAGATCCCGCCACCTTCCCAAAGCGTAGCCTGTTGCCCCCCGCCTGGGAACCCCGGATTCTAAGAGCAGAGAAAAGAGACCATACTTAAGCACAGGCTCTCGCATCCGACACCAGTGCGAGGCTGGGGGGCTGCGCTCCCAGTCGAATCTAGGGGCGGAGGGTCTGGGTCAGGGCGGGCGCCGCAGCCGCTGGATGGGAGAGAACACGTGGGAGAGGCGATGTTAAATAGCCCTTAGACTTTAAGACGCGGATTCGTTACAACGCAGCGAACTCTGGAGGAAAAGCCGCTCTCTCCAGTGAATTCTACAATTCTCTAAGGATTAAATTTTGTAATTGTATGCTTAGTCAGTGCTCTCTTTTCCTGACTTCCACACCAACAACGACCCGAATCTGTCGAGAATTTTTGTAAAACTAATTTACTTAGTCCCAAGTCCCTAACGGTCTCCAGGAGCTACACTGTAAACAGTCCCTAGTCAACAGGAGTGGTATTCCCAGTTAGGTCGGGACCTGTGCAGGCCTCCGATGAGAACCTCCAGTTTTATTCAATGTTTAAGTCTTGTGGGGCAGTGTACTGCTTTAAAAAAAATAAAACCAAATTCGCACGTTTTAAACCTTTTTACCTTGGGAGTTTGTTTCCAGCCGGAGAGGAATGGAAGAACACCAGAGGGCGTTCAGCTTTTTGGTTGGATGTTTTGGATGATTTTCTTGGCGCGCATGCGTGTTGTGTTTCTAGGGCCGACTTAAAGAGAAGTGGGTGTTGACTCGCGGGCAACTGAAGCTGTTGTCAGTTTATACCTCTGACTGCTGGGTTGTCGAGCGTTCGGGAGACGCAGAGGGGTGAATTTAGGTGTCCGATGGTTGCATTTGGAGGGGTGTGTAAGACTCTTTGGCTGAAGAAAGCTATTAAGCTTCTTATATGGATGTTTAAAAAAAAAGCATTTCAGTTTTACGTGCTTGACTCCTGCTTCTCAGCAGATCTTAACCCCGCCTTCACATCTGTTTGGTTTTGCACTGCCAGCTCTTGGCTTGGGGATTGCTCTGTGTTGTTAAGGTTATTATTGCTCATGCAGCCATTTTCTTGTCATCACCAGTCTCAGATTCATTGGCGTGTGCATTAATGGACTGAGTGGGATTAATGGGTAAATATGATGTTCTAGTTGTCTCTAATCCTGGATTAAATACCAAACTGAAATTTCTAGCTTTGTGGATAGTCTGTTTACGCATTGTTTTATTTAAAGGTTGATGACTGTATGTTTTAAAATCACTTGAAATTCACATTTTCTTTATCATACTCCTCCCTCGTTCCTTCTCTCCCCCAAATCCCCAAAGCGGTGAAAATTTTGTTCTGAAGTTTTATGGACCCAGAAGAAATTCTTCTATTCAGAACTGTGGGACTAGTTTTGTTACCAATAATATGAAAGGCTCTGAGTTTAGCCCGGAAAAGAAAAAAAGGGTTAAAATACCAGCGAGGAGACTTCGTGAGGTAGTTTCTCCAAATCAGGGAGATAATTTGGCTTTGCTGAAAGATGAGTTGCCCTGTGTTCCTCCAGCGTTGTCTGCAAATAAACGTCTTCCTGTTAGAACCGAGGCTAGCTTGAATGGAACGTTACGTGGTATGTGACTTGAATAGCTTTAACTTTTGTAAATCTTTAGTCTTTATTTTCATTTTGTTTTTTGCGTTTCAAAATTTAGAGGATTTTTAATGTTTAAATTCTCAAACATAAGATACGTCTAGTTTGTATAGATGTTTGAAAGCTGACCCCTTTCCTGGGAAAATGGCTAGCACAGTCAGTCAAATTGAATCATATCCAATAGGTGGAATGAATGAAACACCTCTACTGTGCTTTTTCTTTGTTTGGTTTTTGCACATTGTTCTTGTTCACATCTATGGTGGATGCACTTAATTAGTATGATGTATTGTTCATCAGTAGGGCTTTCTACCAAATGCTCTACCTTCTGTTTGGGTAGTGTTATTTGGTTTGGCATAGTAGAAAAGCATAACTTCTGCCTTTCAATGGCTTCCATGTTCCAATTCACTTACCCTGTCTTTCCAGTGAAAATGAAAAAAACATAAGCTTTGCCCATTTCATTGATGATCATAAGGATCAAATTAATGACTATATGTGCAAAAACAAAAAAATGCATATATAATGCCGCTTTTGGGGGGGGTGCGGCACAATAAAGGCCTGCTTTTATATCATGTACATATTTTATTCCTGGCAAATGATTCTACCCATAGTATGTCCAAATCCAACATTGTAATAATGTATTTTAAAGCATTTATCTCACTTGATTGTCAGTACTGATCCTTATTTTCCAAAATATCAGGTGTAAAACCTTCATCAGGATATATTTTAATTACAGTTTTAAGTTTTTTGCATGAAAAGTGGCTTCCAACTTAGGTTTTGCATTAATATGGAGTTTATAGTTCTTGAGTCATGCCTGTATAGTTTCCAAAAATACAGTTCTGGTTTTAAAATCACTAAAACTGATTTCTTTGTTTTGTTAGGTTCATCAGACTTGACTTCTGCTAGAAATTATCAGCAGCCTCCATTAGAAAATTCTACTGGGTCAGAAAGTGTAAGCAAAATAATTCTTTATTATGTTCATGTTAAACTTTTCAGTATTGTTGAGTAATGTGTTCTTAAATTATGTTTGATGAGCAACAGGCCTTGTTTTTGCTTAAATTTCACTTACCAAGAGAAATGTTTTACATACAATTGTGACTTGAATAATATTTGAGACATTAAACAAAAAGTCTTCCATAGAATCAAAAATACTCATTACTAAGATGTTGAACACTGAGAGAGATATTGGAACTGAGAAGAAGCTCTGCTGTTATCTAAGGAAATGGTGTTCTAGACCAGAGACTTAACATATTGTTAGGTAAAGGTAAAGAAACAGTAACAACATCATTTTAAAAAAGTGAGGTGTGATTATATGTCATTCAAACGATTGTAAGGTCTTTTGTGTGTTTTTTTTGAGGGGTCTTTAAGAAATAATAACATGAAATTCTCATCTTGACCTTTATAATGCTGAAAATATTTCATGATAAATGCATTTCGTTTATGCAATCTAATTAGATTTTGAGCACTGATCATAATGTTGACTATAGATTTAACAAGTCTTTAAAGAAGAGAGTTTCATAGTATAATATCTTGAAAATTAAAGCTGATGAACTAAGAAAGAAATTAAAACTGTTTACTTACCAGCTTTGCAAACAATTCACAATAAAAATGTATAATTATGTGCCATACTTGGTCCCTCCGTAAATGCTTAGCCTTGGGTTGGTGTTTTTTGAGTATACCTTATTTAATGATTAATGGTATTTGAATTCCATTATCTAAATAATCTCCCAGATGGATATGCTATTATATAAATTGCCTCTGGAAATACTATCAGTATACATTCTTCAGCAAGATCATGAGTGGAATTAGTGATATTATTTTCTCCTAGTTTTACCAATACGGGACATTAGAATTAGATAAAAAACAAAAAACAAAAAAACTTTGCCATTTTGATAGGTAAAGAAAGCATCTCATTTTATTTTGTGTTTATTATTACTGAGGGGGAAGTTTTTTCCATGTATTATTGCCGTCTTTATTCTTTTATGAATTACAGGTTTATATGCTGTACTTTTTCTTACTCATTTGTAGGAGGTCTTTGTGTGAACGTCCCAAATGCGTTCTGTTGTATTGTCAGTCTCATTGACTGTTTTTAGGAAGTTAACACTTGTTTGTCAGGGGTTAGCCTGATCGCCTTCCTTTTATGATTTTCTCTTTACCCTGTGTCTAAGGAAGGTGAAGTGCAATGTTGAATGAACCCAGTACTTAAAATGTCATGGTGTCTTAGCACTGAATAGAATCTCAGAAATGAAGTCTAGGGTTACACATGTGAGCAGAAAGCTGTTTGCCTGTAAAGAAGCCTTCTGAGACTACATTTTGAGTTCAGGGATAAAGAACACTGTGATTAATTTGTGATGTTGTGCCATGTGTTGGCCATCCTTAAGCACTCCATTTGACTCGACATGAATCAGATTTTCACATTAAACTGTAGCAACTGAATTGTTACATGACTCGCTCTGCTAGAAGTGGCAAATTGAGATCTGAGTCTAAATTTCAGGGCCACATTGCTTGCTTGTTCATTTACTCACTCATTCAACAAATCCTTGTGTACCTTCAAGGTACCTAAGCATTGTGGTGGTTCTGGGAATTGAGGATATAAAAGCACACAATCCTGCCTTCTGTCACATAGCTAGTAAATGGTACTTGGTAAGTAATAAAGCATAAAGGTTTTTTAGCTTTTCATATTTTCCTTTCATATCACAAAGGATTTTTCTAAAGATGTTGCAGTACAAGGATTGCCTTTGGAGAAACTAGAAGAGAGCAACAAACAAAAAGGTAAAAGGGTAGTTTTTTTTGTTTTTTTTTTTTTACTGTGGTAAAATATACATAACAAAATTTACCACTTTAAGTGTATAGTTCTGTGGCGTTAGGTACATTCACATTATGCAATTATCACCACCATCCATTTCCAGACCTTTTTCATCTTCCCCAGTCGAAACTCTGTACTCGTTAAATACTAACTCTCCATTTCCCCCCAAGTCTAGTTTTATGATTGACTTATTTTACTTAGCATGTCTTTGTGGTTCATGTGGTTTTATGTGTCAGGATTTTCTTTGTAAGGATAGGATTTTAGATTTTTACATTTTAAGACATTCACTGATTTTTTTAAAGACATTAATTAAAAAGACTTATCATTTTTCCTTATTATTTTGATTATTTCATTTTAATTAGTTTTTCCTTCCAAATTAAGCTATTAATGGAATCTTTAAAATCCAGAAAAAGGTTTGTAATCATAAAGGTCATTTTAGGGGCGCCTGGGTGGCTCAGTTGTTAAGCGTCTGCCTTCGGCTCAGGTCGTGATCCCAGGGTCCTGGGATTGAGCTCCGTATCGGGCTCCCTGCTCCGCGGGAAGCCTGCTTCTCCCTCTCCCACTCCCCCTGCTTGTGTTCCCTCTCTCGCTGTGTCTCTCTCTGTCAAATAAATAAATAAAATCTTAAAAAAAATATAAAGGTAATTTTATTATTACTAACCTGTTCCATAAGTTTCATGTTAAGTATTTATAAAAAAAATTTATAGACTCTGAATTCACGTTCTGAGTAGTCTTTGGTAAGATAATAGATTAAAAAGATGCTTTGAGGAAATTTATTTAGTGACTTTTTTCTGTGTGGCTTTATTTTTATCTAAGCAGTGTTCTCTTTTGAGTTTGAGCAGAATGTCTCCGATTTATCCCCAGGTGTTTTTGGTACATTTTTTCCCCTATTGTCTAGGGTTATGACTATTATTATTCAGTCATTTAATTTGATCCTTGCACTTTTTTTTTTTTAAGAGAGGGAGGAGGGGAAAGGGCAGAGGGAAAGGGAGAGCGAGAAACTCAAGCAGGTGCTATGCCCAGTGCAGAGCCTGTCAGGGGGCTTGATCTCACAACTCTGAGATCATGACCTGAGCCAAAATCAAGAGTCGGACGCTTAGCTCATTGAGCCACCCAGGTGTCCCAGTTTCTTGCATTTTCTTAAATTGAGAAATCTTACTGCTGAATTCCTAAACATTCTCTTAGTTTAAAAAGTTGTTTTGGGATAGCTTACTAAAATTTAACAAATTTTTAGGAATCTGAAGTATGTTTTGTGTTTTAATTTTGCAGCAAATGACATCTTTATTTCTCGGTACACCATGGGACAGAAGGATGCTCTCAGAGCAGTTTTAAAGCAAAAGTAAGTTTCATTTACAGAAAATAGGTGAGCCATTTCTTATGTTTTTATATGGTTCTCTAAAATTAGCTTCACTTACATTTTGGACATAGGAAAAACATTCTTTTCGATGTGTGAAATACGTACAAAGCATTTTTCATAGTGCTGGATATGTATAAAATACTCAATAGCTGTGAACAATTATTATAGAAGAGGTACTGTTCTCAGGACTTTATATGCATTAACTCATTTAATACTCAAAAAAAATCCAATGAAGTAGATTCTATCACATCCCAATTTTACAGAATTCCCATTTTATAGATGAGGAAACTGAGGCACACAGATTGATTTTCTCAAGGTCATTTAGCAAGTATTCACTGGGCTGGGATTCAGACCTAGGCAGTCTGCCTTTAGAATTTGCTCTCTTAATCGCTTCACTATGCTACTTGTAGCAATGGTCAAGTAGTTCCAAATACATAATACTTATTATTTACTTTCTAAGGACATTTAGATTTTTCCTGGTCAAGATTTAAGAAGGGACAAGGTTAGCATCTGGATGGAGTGAAAGGACACCATGGCTACTACTCCATCTAAATGGTCCCTCCCAAGTTTATCTTAAATACCAATGAAATACAAAACCAACTCTAACAACAGCACCATGCTAAGCATGTATCTCCACTACTCTGGAGGCAGTTTTTATTATTTTTATCATTAGCAGAGATGGGATGAGATACATATTCTTAGGCTAAATTTATTCTACTCCTGACCTAGAACAGTCTGGAAGAGCCCGTAGAAAATAAGTAAAATTTTTACTTAAACTTGAACTCTCATTTTA